AAGCTTTCCCCCGGCTGCCCCCCCACATTCGGGGGGGGGGGGGGAGAGGAGATTTAGTGGTGGTCAAATGCCGTCAAATCAACCCCATAAGGTTTTCACGGCAAGAGAGGGTCAGAGGTGGCTTGCCGTTGCCTGCCTCTGCATAGCAACCCCTGACTTCTTTCGAGGTCTCCCATCCAAGTACTGCACAGGTCCGACCCCGCTTCGCTCCAGAGGTCTGATGAGATCAGGCTAGCCTGGGCCATCCAAGGCAGAGCATGGTGAAGGGGTGGGACTTAGGAAGGTTGATTTGAACAAGCAGCAGGAGAAAAAGGGACGCATCACACTGTAAATGCGGACTTCAATGTCCATGTCTAGGTGCCAAGGAATAGTCTATATAGGCAGGGGTCATTTCGTAGAAAACGAGGTGCAGGAGCTCATTAGCATAACTCATTAGCATAACTTATTTGCATATGCCACACCCCCTGACATCGCTGGAAGTGTGTCAGAAGGGAACACCCACCACTCAGGCTCCGCTGGACTGTTTTGGATTGCTACCTGTTGGGGGGGGGGAATGTGCAGATCTGCCCTCGTAGAGGAGGGAGAGCTTGAACCTGAATAAAATTTGGTCTTAAAGGTGCCACTGGACTGTTTGGACCAGGGGGAGCGCTGCAACTTACCTGGCTGCTTCTTGCTCTGATTGAGGGCTGCTGGGAGCAGGGGGTGGGGCTTGTTGCATGTGCCCGCCCCCTGGGCTCTTTACTGCCAGAGCTCCGCTCCTGTGCGCTCCTACAGGAAATGACCCCTGTAATATAGGACATGCTTTTCCCCCCCGCCATGATTGCTATTCTTTATTGCTATCTTTCCATATTCAAAGATAAGCCACGCCCCTCACGCACATATTAACTGTTCTCATTCAAATGAAACCGTCTGATAAACTATCAAGGGCCTTTCTTTTTGCAAACATTTTATATTTCACAAGACCAGGAGCGTGTCGGCCAAGCCTCCTTTTCAGATTTTTGCATTTGACTGACTTCTGCTGCTATAACCATTCTGACGCATGCTAAACTTGCAGCCTCGCTCCCTGCTTGTTTTTAGGGCGCATCAGCTTCAGAGAACCAAACATACAGAACGTGCCAAAAGACTTTGAGATTGAAATGCCGACCTCGGTGGAAGAGAGCCCGACTTCCCCTGGAAACCGCAGCCGATCCAGGTTCCCGGGAAGCAGGTATAAGCGAACCGGGCTGCTCACTCCGTCTTCATTTTAGTTCTGCTGTCAGATCAGGGTAGGACGTTTGCGATGGTATCTGTTGTTCAATTGCAAGGCAAAAAAGGTATGAAACTCTGCATACAGGATTTTGGTTAATGCCTGCAAGGAAATGAGTTTGTATTTTCCCCTTGTTCTTATAAATTAAAAATGTTGTTTTGTTCTTGTATTCTTGGGAGAGGAAGAAGCTAGTAAATTTTTGAAGGGTGTGGATTAGTACCTTCTTTGCCTTGGCGTCCTGTTGAAACAGCTTGGAGGCAGACCATCTCTCTATCAGAAACCTCTCCTTAATTGCCTATTGAATCAAAACGAGAATGTCAGTCAAAAATTAATGGGGGGAATTAAAGCATTACAGACATCAAATCTAATCTAGAGAGCCAGTTTGGTGTAGTGGTTAAGTG